CTATACTAGTTGTCATGTGGAAGTCCGAGGTTTAAATCCAGATCAGGAATAATTTACTTTCTTGTCCTTTCGAGAAGATAGGATAAGATAAGATACGATAATACTTTATTATCCCAGAGTTGTTATCGGTCAACAAATATATATAATATAAGATAGATAAGTAGATTGATATGTAGACATATAGGTAGCTATAATTTATATAAAACGCAAAGGGGTAGTGAGACGGGGTCGTTTATATTGGTGAATGTCTTGAACAGGTAGTCACTTAAGCAGGTTCGTCGACAGCATATATGCATACATAAATACATTCATTATAATTTGCATACACAGCCGTTTTCAGAGACTACATAAAACATAATGTGTGCCGTACACAGACAGCGCTAGCAACCATTCAGTCAGCCCTTTATCCTGTTATGCCGAGAGTCTTTTCCCCCTCGATTCTGTTCTGTCTGTTCGAGAAGAGATCGTGTTTCGATGATCGGCCACTGACCCCTGTCATCGCTGTGTTACAAAGGCCCCCGTACAGAACCTGGCGCTGGGATTATACTGGCAGAGTAGGAGAGAGAGAGGCGCATGTGTTTGAACATCCCACCAGGCCCAGGATATAGTCACAGACTTGACAACTTGTTTTATTTAGGGGGTAGTAGTAGGGTTTTGGGGGGCGACGGACATGGGGAGGCTCAAAGAGGGAAGAACAACAGGGAGGTAAACAAGGAAGGAAACAGAGGGATAAAGAATATCGGGGTGGATTTGTGGCGTGGATTGGAGTTTAGTTATGGTAAAAGTCGTTGAGTGTTGGTTGGAGAGTTGGTGGGTTTAGATGCGTTTGGGGGTGGGTGGATGAGTAAGGGTGAAGTGGGCTGGGGGGGAGGACATAACCTGTTCTGTCCATCCGCGCCCATATTTCACATATCCCCTAGCCAACAGTGTCTGGTCTACCAGGCCGCACTCTGTCCCCTAAAGTCAAGGTCGCCGTGGCCCACAGTGGAGTGATAAACGCCTTCTCCCGGCACCTGAGCGTCGGTGCGTGCTTGGGACAGAAAGTCGCCCATAGGTGACAAGCGCTACTGTTATTTCTGGGAGCCCAGTGAGAAAATAGTAACATTTTACGGCGCTTTTAGAGAGCGTTAGCTTTCCAGTGGAGTCTTCCCACAGCGAATCAAGAACAACAGCAACAGCAGCAGTAACAACAACAACAACAACAACAACGACAACTACAAAAACGACAACAACAACAACAAAAACGACAACAACGACAACAACAACAATTTATAGCTTCAGCAGACGGCTAGTTTTGTTCCCAAGATCTATGACTCGTGTTTTGCGAACTGAAAG